AATCATTTTTTAAATTTTCTCTATTTGATGCTAGAGGTAGAAAGAGAAAAATATAATAAAACTCTCTTAATGTTCTAAATTAAATAAGTAACATGAAATACCTATATTTTGTATAGGGACCAAATAATGTGGAACACTTCATTACCATTTATAATCACCTTAACTAACGCCAAGTCATCTAATATAGAAGCTAGTAACTTTATTTGATCTTGGCTAGCTAGTTTATTCCCACATCAAGCATTTAAATGAAGACAGGCAGAGAGCATCGGGTATAGTTTGAGCAAGTCATATTGAAGAAAAGCATACCTTTCTTGGCTTTTGGCTAAGACTAAGTGAAGTATCTGTTCTTATCAATTTAATATCTGATATTCTTAATTTTTTGAAGGGGACTTAACTATAGTAGCTTGCTATCGAGACTCTCAAGCGTCGCCTTGGTGTTATACTTGGATCCTTGTAGAAATAAAAGTACAATCCATTTTGATCCTTCCATTGTTTTCAGAAGCATACCGCTTTGCTTATATACCAAGTTACCATCATCCACAACTACTTCATTGGCTTCCCTTTCTTTCTGCAATAATAATGGATGAGAAGTTTTTGGAAATTTTATCTTCCATCTAAAATACACGCAATAATTACAAAGGAGTAAGCAGATAACAGATGGATTATATTGAACTTACAGGTCCAAATAAATACTTGAAGCATCGACGTTGCAAATCAGCTCTCTTGTAACTCTCAAGATTTAGCTCTTTCCCATCACCCACATCCAACCTTCAATAAAGAAGCAGGTTTATCATGTAAGTTTAAATCAAAACTACTTGTGCTTCTGACCGGTGATCTTACCAATAGAAGAAAGGTTGGCTACTTTTGCTGTTGAACCATACATCATAGTAGAAGTGTAAGTTGTGTCCATAACGATGACGTGGATCAATCTGCAGTTACAAAAAGAGCAAATTAAGTTTTGTAATATATGTTTAAGACTTCATATTATCGATATACATAGAAGATCAAATAGCAACAAGGTCTTATTACTGCTTCGAGCCATTGCTGCAGAGCTAACTTTTGTGCCTCTTCATCCTTCAAACCTTTGCCTACCTGTAGATCACAAACGTAATTTTGCTCAATTTTCAATAACAATTTTGAGACAACATGGACGTATAGTTGGCTCTTGTTAACATACCTTAGCAGCCCGTGTTCTTGCACGTGACCACCTTGAATCGGAAGCTTCATGTTTATTGACATCAAAATTTGAAATAGAGCTCTGCTTTAAAACTGCAGAATCCAAAGGCATTCCTCCTAGATGGTAAAAAAATAAAATGGAAACCAAGACTAGAAACATAACTGATTTTACATAAGAAAAAGGCAGCAAACAAACCAGTGCTGTTCAACAAGTAGAGCACAATCTGCAAGGTTCCTTCTTGTCCTATAACTCCTGTACACTGTCTGGATCTTAGTCGCAGCAGCGTCAAGTTCAGTAATTGACATTCTTGGTACTTGATCCATTGTTTTCCTTGTCAACAACCAAGCTAGTTATCGGAAAAAGCTTTTGTTTCTTATGTTTTAGACTTTCTAACAATCTTAGCACCTTTATCTTTGAAACTGAGTGTCCTCAAAGGCAATTTTCTAGAAAGAGAGAATTCCCAGTCACTGCTCACTGGACAAGCAACAATTAAAGCTCACAAACCATTGATTTTGTTACAAATTAGGATGTTTCAATTCATTCAAAGCCACTAATAATCTTTTCCCCCCAACCCCACAAAGATTAGAGGAAAACATTAGTAACTTTTTCCAGCAATTGCATTAAAAGCAAAAGAAAAATAGGAACATAATTGGTCTAATTAAAGCAAATATGTAACTAGAGAAGGGACAGTGGGAAAATCAACTTGTCTTGCTTCACCAAGGGAATACATAATCTTTTATCTTTACCATTAATACAACAACAACAACGTATCAAGTGAAATCTCAGGAATGGGGTCTGGGGAAGGTAGAATGTATGCAGACTTTACCACTACTCATGCAGAGAGGTTGTTTCTGAAAAAAGAAGAAACAACTCCCGATACAAAGAATCGAAATAAGGAACAGTACAAAAGTAGCAAAACCGCATTAAAATCATGTGATAATTGAAATACAAGGATAAGACAACTACAAATGATCATGCAAATTTTGAAACTAGAGAAGGACTAGTGAAAAAAAAAATCATTTCTCCTCCAAAACAGAAAAGGGGCATTAATAATATCACAGAAGACTCAAAGATAAAAATATTATCAATGAATCGACAGACAGAGAGAGCAAATTAACACCTCTGGTTTTCAAATAGATGAGATATGCAAGGTTAGCAAAACATACACAATAAATAGCTCAAGAAATCAACACCACCAACAAGAGTAAAGAAACAACTCAACATATTGCAAGAAACAAAAGTTTAGCAAACCCAAGTGGAAGAAAAGCCATTAAATGATTCCAAGTCCATAATTTCTCACCTTGAAAAGAAAAGAAGCTGTTTCCCTTGTATTTGATCTCTAAGGATTTGTGTAGTAAAAAAGTAGGTGATCCTACTCAGCAGAAAAATATAAGTCTTGCGTCGGCTTTCATTGAAGATAAGGAGACAAGAAACAGGGAATTGAGACTCGTGGATAGTTTTTTTTTTTTTCTCTACTTGATGTTGAAATCTAGAAATATGTGCATAAGCAAACAAGATTCTATGTAGCAAGTGTCAAGTCTGTTTGGTACAAAGAAAAAAAACAATTTTTTCTTTGGTTGGTTAAAATCTATTGAAAAATATTTTTCAAATGAATTTATTTTCCTCAAATTTAAGGAAAATGACTTATCCAAAAACAATTCTCAAAACTCTTTTTCATCCTCATACCTCAATTTTCCACCCTAACTCAAGTCTTGGGTACGCACCCTTGATACTAATCAGGGACTCAATTTTTCATCTTAACTCAAGTCTCAAGTATTGAAGAATACTAATTAGGGATTCAACTCTTGATTCTTGATTCGGAACCCGACTTCAGACCTTAATTCGAGACCCAACTCTCCGGTCTCGTATTAGGGTCGGATCCCGATTTGGATGTTGGGTCTCGAGTCAGGATTCGAAGTCAGATCTCATATCAGGCGTAGGGGTCAAGTCATGAGTCAGGTTTTGGGGTAGGGTGTTGAGTCAGGTGTCGGTATCAAATTTCAGATCGAGAGTCGAGGTCGACTCCTAGGTCAGGTATCGGGGTTGGGTCCCAATTTGAAATTCAGGTCACGAATGGGGATTCAATATTAAGTCTCAATTTGAAAGTCGGATCTAATGTCGGGAGTCAGGATCAGTCGAGGTCGGGTCCCCATTCAAAAGTTAGGTTTTGAGTCGGATGTCGGGGTTGAATCTTGGTTTGGAAATCGGGTTTTGATTCGGGCGTTGAATCTCGGGTCAGATGTCGGGGTCGGATCTTGGTTTGAAAGTCGAGTCTCAATTTGAGTTGTCCCAATTTAGAAGTCGGGTCCCGCTTCGGGTATTAGGATTGGGTCCTAGTTTGGAAGTCGAGCCCTGGTTCATGTGTTGGGTCCTAGGTTGAGTGTCGAGATCAGGTCTCAAGTCAGTCATTGGGGTCGGAGTCGGTCTAGTATGAATGTCATGTTCCGGTCAATTGTCGGGGTCAGCTTTTGATTCGGATGTTGGAATTGAATCCCAGATCGATCATCGGAGTCGTGTCTAGCTTTGGATGTTAGGGTCAGGGTCGAGTCACAAGTTGGGAATCAGGATCAGGTCCTAGGTCGAATTTTGGGTTAGATCCTAGATTGGGCGTCAGTGTCGTGTCCCAATTTAGGCGTCAGGATAGGGGTCGAGCTCCAGTTCGAATATTGGGTCCTGAGTCGAGAGTCGGGGTCAGGCCCCGATTTCGGTATCTAGGTCGGATCTCGGATTAGTTATCGGGGTTGGCTTCCGGATCAGAAACTATATATTTTCTACTCTCTAGTAAAAAATAAAAGATATTTTGTGGAGAATGTTTTTCATTCACCAACCAAATACTAGAAAATATTTTTCACTTACCAACCAAACATGATATTTAAGTTAGAAATCAACTTGTCTTTCAAAAAACATATTTTTTAGGAAAACATTTTTTATGAAATATATTTTCCTCCATACCAAACACAATTATACTACAACCTTGGTCTGGCGCAGCCCACCAATTCTGGTATGATTCTCGTAAAGAAATCTTATTTTGTGCATTGAAAAAGTGAAATGGGCAAAGTAGCAATTTTTTATATACCAAAGACTTCAGAGGGAGCATCTGTTAGCCCATTATACTTGCTGTTTATATACCAAAGACTTCAGAGGGAGCATCTGTTAGTCCATTATACTTGCTGGTGATTTTAAAAGGCATAATAGATAAATATGTCTTTTTAACTTGATGCCCTCAAACTTTGGTTGTATATAAGTATATATTTAAACTTGTATAAAATTGAAACAAGTAAATATATGTGTCATATGTGGCGTCCTATGTGTATTATACCATATAAGACGTGTGTATCTACTTGTTCAATTTTGTACAAATTCAAGTATCTATTAATGTACATCCAAAGTTGAAGGGCATAGATGTTAACCGAGACCAAGTTAAAAGGCAATATTTATGTTTTATGTCATTTTAAAATACCTACAAAAGAGGTTTATAAAAATCTTAAATTATACAATTCTTAGGTAGAAAATGGAAATCAGTTTTATTCCCAGCCAGTTGTTTTATGTTAGCTCACAATTTAAAACCGTGTGGACTCAAACAAAAGAACTTTTATAATTATCTTAGTTTGACTAATTAAAGATTAAACTCAGCTAATTGTACTTGTGTGTTTCACTTGTAAAAGTTTGAAACTCCACCATATTATATTGGAAGTTTCACATGTGAGATTTGAATCTTGGAATTTCACGTAAAGGGAGTCTACGAACTCCAAGAGTGTGTACAAGCTTCGAACTCCAGCATACTATGCTGTAATTTTTCCATAACTTAGCTGAGGTACTTTTGTCCAGATTTTATTTCCATCAAAAAGTGGTTATTTCTCAATTACATTTCGAAGGGTGACTAAACTTTGAATACAGATCCAAAAACTTTCAAAGAATGCCTATTAACTACCCTAACTGAAGAACTTGGCATGGTCAATAGAATAAGTGAATAAATCATTCACTGTGAATTCACAAGGTAGTAATAGAAACTCTTGGGCTTGGAAGTCCCATGTATGCAAGCCTAGGCGATACATGGATTTTTGGGCTCGGACGTGGTGAAGGAATTGGATTACAGTTCTTGGGCTGAGACAAGTTAACTCTTGGAGACAGATTGACTGCTTCAAGAGCCTGAGATTGAAGATCCATTGGATAGTCTCTAACACAGCCAATACGGGGACCAACGCCACTTGTCCACTTGCAAGACAAACGTTTGGTCAAGTCAAAAACTGGTTCTTCTATCTTGTCTTTACTTGTATGCGTAAAGTTTTCTTCATGAGCAGTTATTTTCAACACATCACTGACCGGACCATTGTCTTTAGCTTTATCTGCATCACAATTTTGTGATAAGGTTTTCTCCATGTCTTTGTTAGACACCGATAAAAGTCTATCATCGTCTATTGCACATTTCTGCAGGTAAGAAGAAGTTAATGATTTGCCCGTTAGCATCAGTACTACTTGCGCGGAATTGACACTACATTGGACATGACTAGTATAATTACCTTAACGTTAGCCAAATCTACATGGTGTTCCTCAAGGAAATTGATGAATTCCTTGAAATTATCTTCTGTAGGAAGATAGTGACCGCTGTATGGCCAAATTGCCTGCAGAGTAAAATGTGACTAAAGTCAATGAAATGAAACAAAAGAAATGATGTACGTACGTATTGGCATGATTTGTGAAGTATACCTCAAGAATACCATCCTGAACAACCAATCTACCAGCTGCTGTAGTAGCACCACCAGATAGGAAACTAGAGTGTTGGAAAACACCCTTTTTTTTCTTTCCAACATAAAGAACTCTTGAAGTACTAAGAACGAAAATCCACTTCGATCCTTCTGTTGTATTCAGGAGCATTCCGCTTTGCTTATATACCAACTTGCCATCCTCCACAACTACTTCGTAGGCTTCCCTTTCGTTCTGTAATAATAATGCATGAAACATTTTGGAAAAATTATTTTCCATCTAACATTTATTACAAAGGAGGAAGTAGATAACAGATGGATTATATTGGACTTACAGGTCCTAAATACTTGATGCATTGACGTTGCAAATCAGCTCTCTTGCAATTCTCGAGATTTAGTTCTTTCCCATCACCCACATCCAACCTTCAATAAAAAAGCAAGCTTATCATGTAAGTTTAAACTTGACACATGAATGAAAAACCGAAACTACTTGTGCTTCTGACCGGTGATCTTACCAATAGAAGAAAGGTTGGGTACTTTTGCTGTTGAACCATACATCATAGTAGAAGTGTAAGTTGTGTCCATAACGATGACGTGGATCAATCTGCAGTCAAGCAAAGAGCAAAGTAAGTGCCCTAGTATATGTTTAAGACTTCATATACATGAAAGATCAGATAGCAACGAGGTCTTACCGCTTCCAGCCAATGTTGCAGAGCTAGTTTTTGAGCCTTTTCATCCTTCAACAAACCTTTGCCTACCTGTTGACCACAAACATGATTTTGCTCAATTCTTGAGTCAATAACTATATTCGGACAAGATGGACGTATAGTTGGCTCTTGTTAACATACCTTAGAAGCCCTTGTTCTAGCACGTGACCACCTTGACACAGCAGCTTCATGTTTATTGACATCAAAAAATGATATAGAGCTCTGCGTTAAAGCTGCAGAATCCAAGGCTTTCCACCTAGAACCATAAGAAGGAAAACAAAAATTAGAAACCAAGACTACAAACATCAATGATTTTACATAAGAGAAAGGTGGCAAAAGAAACAAGCAAACAAACCAGAGCTCTTCAACAACTACAGCACAATCTGCAAGGTTCCTTCTTGTCCGATAACTCTTGTACACTGTCTGGAGCTTAGTCGCAGCAGCATCAAGTTCAGTAACAGGTCTTGGAGAAAAGAATACAAAAGGCTCTGGAATCGAGATTCTTGGTGCTTGATCAACAACCAAACTAGTTATCGGAACAGAAGTTTTAAGCTTTTGTTTCTCATGTTTTAGACTTTCTTCTGAACAATCAGACTTTATAACATTCTTATCATTTTTTTTCTTTGAAACTGAGTGTCATCAAAGATAATTCTCTATTTTTCCTTTCAATGCTAACCGATCTCATGATAGCTCTTCCCATGGTGTCCGGAAAAATAAGATAACTATGCCTTAGAATCTCATTCCATGCTGACAACAGTATAGAAAGAGAGAGTCCCATTTACTTGACAATTAGAGCTCAGATGCCTGTAAACAGAAACCATTGGTTTTGTTACAAATTAGGATATTCCAATTCATTCAAAGCCACTAAGAATTTCCAAAGGTGAGTGAAATACAACCCAATCTTTTCCCCCAAACCCCTCAAAGAAAAGAGGAAAACGTAATAACTTTTTCCAGCAATTGCATTAAAAGCAAAAGAAAAAAATGAACATACAACAATAACAACAAACTCAATGAAATCTCACAAAGTGGGGTTTGGGAGGGAAGACTGTACGCAGCTCTTACCACTATAGTCAGCTTTCGAAGAACTCTCCGCTCAAGCAAATCAAAACAGTAATTAAAGGAAAAACATGACAGCTAATAGCAAAGCAGTGCAAAACATATATGCAAGGAACCATAATAACAACAACAAGGTGCGATCACCTCAACACAATAAACCAAATATGAAAAAAGAAAATAGGAACATAATTAATCTAAATCAAGCAAACTTGTAACTAGAGAAGGGAAAATCAACTTGTCTTGCTCCCCCACCCCCACCCCTAACCCCCTTTAAGGGAAAACATAATCCTTATCTTTCCATTAATAGCATGAGAAAACAAAAACAGATTTTGAGCATAAAGAAACAACACTAACATAGATTTTGCTTAGGCACATATGTCAAGAAACAAAAGTTTTGCAAACCCAAATGGAAGATAAGCCATAAATAATTATAAATTTTATTAATTTCTCACCTTGAAATGAAAAAGAATTATTTCTGTATGGATTTGGTTGAAGGGAAAATAATGTTGCACGGGTCTTGACCTGTTAGCAGTCACATATTTATAGTAGAAAGGGTAGTTTGAATAATCAAAGCTGTGCAGTAGAAAAAAGTTGGTGGTCCTACTATGCAGAAAAATATGTGTCTGCATAGACTTTCATTGAAGGTGAGGGGAAATGTAGAAGAAGCAGGGGAATTGAGACTGGTAGATTTTATATTTTTTATTTTCACTTGGTCTTGAAATCTAGAAATATGTGCATAAGCAAACAAGTTTTTTATGTTAAAGAAAAACTAATAATTTCAGCTGTGGGGCTTTGCCTCATGCCATCATGCATTATTGATCAAAGACCATCTCCAATTCACCTCTATCTTACGATCCATTTTTTATATTTGGAGAGTAAAATAGAGAATGAACACTCCAATCCACCTCTATATCACTCTCTATTCTTCATATTTAGAAAGCTAATTATTTTATTATTATTTCTATTACTTCTAATTAACATATTATTTTACATATAATGTCATTAATTAAATATCTAATATTCACAATTATTTTTAAATGTAATATAATATTTTTAAAAAAATATTATTTAATATATACTACTTTCATCCCAAATTAATAGTATTTTAATTTTTTCTAATTTTCGTCAATAATATAATTTGATTTTATTATTAATTTTCACTATAAAAAATACACAAAATTAAAATGATAAGATGAAAATTTTAGTTTGAAAATACAATACATAATATGACGATTTAAATACAAGATAACAATACAATACATAACATAATAATTTAAATACAAGATAAAATACAAATACATAACATAATAATTAATTCGCGATAAAACAAGAATCATGCCGAAAAGATGTTGAACATGCATTCGGAGATTTGCAATCACATTTTGCAATTATTGCAAGACCATCACATTTTTGGAGAAAGGAAGTGCTACATGATATAATGACTACATGTATTATACAACACAACATGATAATTGATGATGAACGTGATCCTAATGCACCAATTCAAGATGCCATAGAGGTTCCAACTCCAACGACATAAATGGTGGTAGATGAAAATTTCCGATTTGAACAATTTTTAGCTAGACATAAAAAAATTAAGGACAAAAATGCTCATTTTGAACTCCTTAATGCATTAATAGAGCATTTATGGGTAATGAGAGCAACGTAATAATTTCAAAAATTGAGTATTTATGTAATTGTATTTCACGTTTATTTGAATTTGTCCATCAATTTGTATATTATATAATACTTTCTTGCAATTTATGTTATTTAAAATTTAGAATAAAATAAAATTTTATATTAAATAAAAATTTTGAAAAAATAAAATTTTATATCACATGAAAATTATATAAAGTAATTATTGGGAAAAAATAAAGGATTTATATTATGAAATAAGAAAATAAAAATGAAATAGAAATAATAATATAATATTGAGGAGAGAGAAAAAAAATTCTTTTTTAGAGAGTAAAATAGAGAATAGGGTTGGCGTTGGTTGTCTGAAAAAATAGAGAACTCTATATTTGGAGAGTAAAATAGAGTGTAGGGTTGGAGATGCCCTAACACATCACAAGCATCTAAAATTACACCATCTTTTTGCTTACACTCTCAAATTAAGATTTCATGTATCTCTATTTTAAAAGTAGGGGTGTGAGGTGAGATGTTTTATGTAAGATGGTGTAAATCTCGAGATATGAGGCGCAAATCTCATAAATTTACGGGCGTACATCTCAAGTATATTCAATTTTATAATTTTATTACTAAGAAAATAAGTAAAAGTAAAAGTTTTCATGATTTTCAAATAAATTTCAATAAATAATCAATAAGGTAGAAAAACATATTATAATTATTATTTGAGAAAGGTATTAATAACATATAATATAGAAAAAAGTATTATAATTACTATTTGAGAAAATTAACAACTAACAAAACAAATAATGATAATAGTAAAAATAATCTTTAAAATAAAATCATCATCCATCTTCAAAAATTATGTGTATGCCACTAGCTATGACTGTAAACTTGAGATACTTGGAATAGTGGCGGAGTTAAAAATTTATGAAGGAATTCAAAGTATGAAAAACTAAACACAAGAAAAAGTCCAAAGGGTTGTACATACACAAAACTAATTTTACCTATACCAACAATGTTTAGAGGTTAAATGAATCATATCATCGGCTCTACATGGTTCCACCCTGCTTGACAGATGAGATAATGATTATAAGTTAAAATATGAAATAGAGAATAATTTCAAAAATCGAGAATTACCCTTGGTAGATGTTATTGTAGACACATAAATTGTATTGGGTTAAATTCATATGAACTTTGAATTAAATTCATGTTTGTTTGGGCTAAATGATTAATTTGGGCTTTACAAATAAATAAGTTCATCTTATTAAATCCAAATTCAAGGTCCATTTCACCTTGAAGCCCAAACTCATGCCACATGTCACAGTGACTAGGCATCCAAGACCAATAAGGCGATGCCATGCGTCCAGGGGTAGAGCTAGGCGGGGTTCTTGGGTTCGGACGAACCCATTAGCTTTTCTTTAGACCCTGTATTTGTACTAGAGAATTCATTAAATATATATATGTATATTAATTTGTGAACCCCTAACAAAATTGATTGACGGTTCTAAAGAAAATTTAGAACCCCCAAAATATTAATTCTAGCTCCACTTTTGCATGTGTCCAAATGAGGTGGTAGTCCCAATCAAGTGCAGGAACCAATCACAACATGTCAAGTGTCAAAATGACATCCTTTGGCCAATCATATGCAACCTTGTCCACCCCCCATAACTATAAATAGGGGATGGACATGACATTCTAATGACATCAATGCAACTCTTCAACAAGCATTATGCAATTGGAGAAAGCTACAACATTAACTACATAGCTCTTCGAAGAAGTGATCAACGAAGTTCTTCCCAGAGATCGACTTGAAACGACGAAGCGCTTTCCGACGTTCCCGGAGATCAAGAACATCTCAAGGAAGTCTACATCATCCAACAATTCGAGAAGTACGTTATTGAAGGCCCTCGAATCTTGGAGAAACTTAGGAGAGAAGAATCAAGAGAACAACAGAATTGTACTCACAACGATTCATCAATAAAAGTAACATTTTCTTTTATCTATTTTTCTTGCAGTTAATTTTCAGCGCATAAGAAAATTTGTTGCGAACAAATTTGGCACACCCAGTTGGGACCGATTATGCTCTTCATCACTTCTCTTGCAAACCAGAAACTACAAAGTCAACTACTGCGATGGCCTTTAGAAAGAGTGGTGATTTTTCATACAATGACTCTACTGGTGTCGTATCTGCTTATCGCAGTCATGTTGGCTCAATTACTCGGCATAAGTTCAAGAAAAGTGGGCTAGATGGATCTGAATACTTCACTTCTTTGGAGACGATAAGAAACAACAACTCTCATACGATGGTCGTAACTTCAACACCAAGGGGCAATCTTGCATCCGTGTTCTTTGGAGAATCTTCTCAAATTGGCTCAAACTTTGGTGAATCTGAAGATTCAATGGATTCTCCAACTTCAATGAATGTCAATGCTTTGATGGCTGACTCAACTGACATGAACGAGAAGTTTGCAATGATGGAGCAAACCCTTAAAACCTTGAAGAAATTCGTTGATGACAAAAATCTTCATATTGCTCAACTTATGAACAAGTTGGAGGCCTTCACACCTGGAGAGTTAAGTCATGTCCCCACTTGTCCACCTGGTTTTGATCAACAAAACAAGGACATTGAGGAATCTTTAACGAAGTCAAAATTTCAAAATGAGAAACAATATGCTTCAGCTGTGATGCTTATCACGACCAACGATACTAACCTATGGTACGAGTGTCTACGATCGTCGATAATATAGTAACTCAATCAAGGGTTGGGGTCGTGTCCCAAGGGATTGGTTTTGAGAATTAATAGAAAATTAAAATTAAGTTCTAATTAGTCATAGCTAAAGACATTAACGAGTAAAAACATAGTAAATTAAGGGGGTGACACAAAAGTGTCAATTAACAAATGGGGGTTTTGTCACAAGTAAGATAAAATTAGCAAAATCAACAAGGAAATCAACAAGGGGGAGAAGTTCTTGGGGTGTGACCGCAATATAAATTGATATAAATCATTGAATACATGTTTTCGATAGGAAATTTGCAAGCTAATAGTGACTAGTCTAAGCTTTAGATGGAAATAAGTTCCCTATCAAGCAATTTACTCTGTTTCAAATGGGTTCCTCTCGGACACCCATTTGCTGCATGAAGGTCAGCCTACGCCTTACCCCACTTACTCTCTCGAGCTGAGTGTTAGGATATGGTACTAGGGCTCACCCTATCGGGTTGAACCTAATGTCGACCCACTCCTTAGGTCATCAGGCTAGTTGTCTTGGTTCCGCGACCTCTCTCTCGAGTAAGCCGAAAACACATGGGTGGTTTTGTATTTGCAACTACAAACCCATTAAATTAAACCACAAACACTAGGTGAAATCACCATTAAAATGCATCAAACATATCAGCAAATAAGACCCAACAATAATATCAACACATATTTGCTAAATCACACCTCAAGAATGGGGTTTTTAGCCTCACATCAAGAGATAAAAAATTATTCCTAAATGAGCTTGCATTCAAATGGGTATGAAGATTTAAGTCTTATTACAGGTCAAGAATGAAGAATCCAAGAGACCCAACTCCAAATCTAGAAGATGAAACCCTCTTCTTTTTCAAGTCTCCAAAACCCTCTCAAACTTAGAGCAAAAATATCAAAAAATACTATTAGATATGAAAATTACAATAATTGTTCGACTCTTTAAAATAAAATTCTAACTAGTATTTATAGTTATTACAGATTTGTGCTGCAGCGGATCATTCGACGTCATTAGTTTGAATCGCCGATCAACTCGGTGATTTGCCCTTTGGTGTAGTTCGTCGCCGCCTTGCACCAACCTTCAGCATCGTCGTGCTCTGTGTCATTGGGTGGCATAGTACTGCTTTGCGGAACTATTCGGCGATACGTCGACTGCTCCCTTTGTTCGCTGACTTGATCTTTTCCTTTAGGGCTCAGCATACTGGAACAAAAGGCGAAGTAAAACCCTTTGGCGACTCGCCAAGTGGACTCAATGATCCTCATGCCTTCGTTTCTTCGTTCTTTTCAGCCTTTTCGTTCCTTTTTGCGACGTAGTGTCCATGCTTTCCTTCAAACTTCAAATACCTTAAACTTAAGGGTTTTCATCAGATATTGAGGTAAAATAAGCATTTGAGGACACAATTTCTATTAAAATATAGCCCCAGATGAGTTCAATTTGTGGACTCATCAAGCTGCAGCGTTATATGTCCAACAGTTGCAAAACATGATAACGAACACTATCAGGGCTCAATATGGTGGAACACCACAAAGTTCTTTGTATTACTCCAAGCCATACACCAGACAGATTGATTGTCTATCAATGCCAACAAACTATCAACCACCAAAGCTACAACAATTTAATGGCAAGGGGAACCCAATGCAACATATTGCTCACTTTGTTGAAACTTGTAGCAATGCTGGAACACATGGTGACCTTTTGGTAAAACAATTTGTTTGTTCACTGAAGGGAATGCATTCGACTGGTATATCGACCTGGAACATAAGTCCATCGATAGTTGGGAGCAACTCGAGAAGGAATTCCTCAATCATTTTTACAGTACTCGTCAAATTGTAAGCATGATATGGTTGACTGACACTAAGCAAAGAAAGGACGAGCATGTGGTGGATTACATCAATCGTTGGAGATCACTGAGTTTGGACTGCAAAGATCGTCTTTCTGAAATATTTGTTATGGAAATGTGCATTTAAGGTATGCATTGGGGACTTCTATACATACTACAATGAATCAAACCACAAACTTTTGAGGAACTTGCTACACAAACGTATGACATGGAGTTGAGCATCGCAAGTCATGGGAAGGCATCTTCTTTTGCTGATCTCACAAAAGAAAAGAATGAGTTCAGAAAAGGTATGACCTCAAAGACCCAAACTAAGAAATCTATAGCTATGAAAACAACTTCTGTAAATGTCACCATCAAGAGTAAACTAAAAAAGGAGGAAGCCCCAAGTCTATATCATAGGGAGGAGAGGCGACGTCCAACCTTGAAGGAGTTAGAGGCAAAGGTCTACCCATTTACATATTCAGATGTACCTATGATTCTAGATGAATTGATAGCTTAGAAAGTAATTGATCTTCCTGAATCAAAGAGGCCCGAAGAAATCAATAAGGTTGGTGATCCTAGATACTACAAGTTCCATCGCGTCCTTGGCCACCCGACAAGTAAATGCTTTATCTTGAAGGAGAAAATCATTATGTTAGTAAGTGAAGGAAAAATCATCATTGACCAGGATGAAACAACGGAGGCAAATCATGCTAGTGTAGCACCAAATCAAAAAAAGTGCTAAAGGTCCACTTTCTTGCAATTCAGAAGTTTAACTCCTACTGAAGTTGATTTTCCAATGAAAACTCTTGAAGGTTCACTAGAGATAGACGACCACGAAGAAAATGAAGTTGATGGTTGGACTTTGGTTACTCATAAGAAGCGGAGTCATCAAGCAATTCTTAGGATACAACTTCCTAAGACAAGAGCAATAAGGAGTAACGTGAATCAACTACAGCCATCAAAAAGCGTCAAGCCTTGTACTAGCCAATAGATCAATGGTTTTTTATCGCAGAAGGTTTGAAGGACCATTACATTAAATGAATTCTTTCCTGAAAATTCTTTTGCGGTAGTCAAATTGGTGCAACACATGTTATTTCCAGCCCAGACGAAACAAAGAAAAGCAAAGGCAGGCATAATCCAGCAATAACACAAGAACATCAAACTGATGAAAAAGTTTCCCCATGTTGTGCTACAATTGCCTTCACAGATGATGACTTGTTGTTAGGGTCTAAGATACATAACAAACCTTTGTTTGTTGTAGGATCTATTTAGGAACTACATCTCAATCGCATACTAATCGATGGTGGTTCGGCAGTCAATATCATACCAAAAGTTATTTTGAAAAAACTTGGGATCTCTATTGATGAAATGTCCAAAAGTAACCTAACGATCCAAGGTTTCAATCAAGAAGTACAATGATCCATAGGGAAGATTCGCGTAGGATTGCCCATTGGCGACGTGAAATCAAACACTTTGATTCATGTTATAGATGCCAAAATATCATACCATTTGTTGCTCGGACATCCTTGGGTTCATGAAAATAGAGTGGTGCCATCTACTTTGCATCAATACATGAAGTATATGAAAGATTGTGAGGTAGTAAAAATTGATGTAGACATCAATCTTTTCACTAAGACGGAGTCCTATTTTGCATATGCAAAATTCTATTTAGATTCTGGAAGATCAAATATGGAGGCACATGTAAAAGCCGACTCAATTGATCTCGAAGATTGTAAAGTTCAATGGGTTGGTATCAAGATGTCTAAGAAGAGAATGGAAGAGGTTTCCATTAAGCTTTCACCATCTAAAGTAGTCATGCAGACCAATATTGATAATGAGTAACCAACCTTTTGCTACATTCCACGTGAGCGTCGAAAAAGGGACAACCACTGCTAGAGGAATGTACTCAACAATTACACCCACTGAAGAAGAAATTTAGTCACATAACATTCCAATATTTGAAGGAGAAAATGACTGTCCCAGTTGCACAAGTCTCGTCTATCGCTTTGGAGCCCTCCAAAGGGAATACCGAAGTTGGTAAGATAAAAAGGAACTTTGATCAAAAGGTCTTCACATTGTTTGAAAAATCAGGTTACGACTTCTCAAATCCAACGAAGTTAGGAGAACTCAGGGACAAAGTGACTGGTGAAAAGATACAGGAGCTTACAAAGTCTCAAATGCAGTTGAGAAAGCAAGGATATCATGTCACCACTCCTAGATTTGGGTTAGGATTTAGTTTGTCAGAGCCTCTTCGGATTTCATCTAAGAATGGAAAGGAAATAGCTTCATCCCACCAGACCTCTATATAAAAAAGAGGAATCTAAGGAAGGAAACACCATGACGAACTTCGGTGTTTGAACGCATTGGAAGATTGACACCTTGTGTCTCTGCATTTGAAAGATTGGGCCAGAATGATGGAATGTAATCCTCTAAACAAGTGGACATCTATGCCACCACCTCAAAGACCTCTGTATTTCATCGCTTGGGAACCAAAAGGAAGTCATCATCAGAAATGAGGTTGTTGGAGCATGAAAATCAAGATTTTTGTGATGTAACCGACGACAAAGAGATCTATAGTGTTTTCCCATCACGTATGAAGAGAAATGCTATATTGTCAATTACCACAGATGGTTCATCGAAGTTAAAAATAAGCACAATTGTTATCACCAATCAATGTCATGGAGAAACTAAAAAGGAGGAAGATGAAACCATCACAGTCTTCGTAGGAAGTCAGAGGGAAGATTCAAACTTGATACAATCATCCTATCACATAACAGTGAAAGAAGGTCCACACTTTGATGATACAGATGATGATGTCCAAGAGGCTCCCCCTCAACTGGAGGATGGCGTACAATCAACCATAGACGACCTCAAGGAACTAAATCTAGGCACTTTGGAAGATCCACGCCCAACCTTCATTAGTGCACTTCTTACACAACAAGAAGAGAGAAAATACTTCAAGTTATTGGTTAAGTACAAGGACGTGTTTGCTTGGTCGTACATAGAAATGTCGGGCCTTAATCCTATGATAGTTATTCATCATTTAGGGATAAAAAAGGGAACACGTCCTATAAAGCAGTCACAACTAGTGTTTCGCCCTGAGTTGGTAACACAAACTAAAACAGAGGTCAACAAGCTCATAGAAGCTGGATTTATCCGAGAAGTGAAGTACCCATTATGGATCTCAATTATTGTCCTGTCAAGAAAAAGAATGGTTAAATAGGTGTCTGCGTTGATTTACGAGATTTGAACCAAGACATGTCCAAAAGATGATTTCCCTCTGCCAATCATTGAGCTCATGGTTGATGCTACAATTGGTCATGAAGTATGTCATTTATGAATGGTTCTTCTGGATATAATCAAATCAGAATGTCTCCAAAAGATGAAGAATACACTACTTTTTGAAATCCAAAAGGGATTTATTGTTATAAAGTGATGCCCTTTGGTCTAAAGAATGCTAGTGCCACTTACCAACATGCAATGCAAAACATATTTGATGACATGTTTCATAAGAGGGTGAAATATTACGTCGATGACTTGGTGGTGAAAACGAAGCAAAGGGAACACCATCGTGAAGACATTCAAATTGTTTTTGAGAGGCTAAGAAAATTTGACTTGAAGATGAATCCACTCAAATGTGCATTTGGGGTTACCTCAGGAAAGTTTCTTGGCTTCATTCTGCGTCACCGTGGAATCGAAGTCGATCCCGCAAAGATTGATGCCATTCAAAAAATACCTGAGCCAAAGAACTTGAGAGACCTTTGCAGACTACAAGGAAATTTGGCATTCATTTCTAACCTGGTTGGACGATGTCAACCCTTCAACCATTTAATGAAGAAAGATGCTCCTTTCCACTGGGACCAATCATGTCGAAATGCTTTTGAAAGCATCAAAAGATACTAGTTGAATTCATTTGTATTAGGGGCACCAACTCTTGGAAAGCTATTGATACTATACATTGCATCGCAAGAGTGATCACTTGGAGAACTTCTTGCTCAACAGAACGAAGCTAAGAAGGAACAAGCATTGTACTATCTGAGTCGGACCTTGATAGGAGCTGAGTTGAATTATTCGCCCATTGAGAAAATGTCCTTAGTATTGCTTTATGTAACAACAAAAATTGAGACATTATTTTGAAGCGTACACTATCAAGCTAATTTTTCGGGTTGATCCCGTGAAGTTCGTAATGACTTGACCAGTTCTCTCAGGACGTCTAGCAAGATGGTCTATATTGTTTAATCAATATGAGATCATATACACACCTCAAAAAGTTGTGAAGGGGAAAACACTTGCTAACTTCCTAGTTGATCGCCCTCTTCTGGGAAACTGGGAAACTTCAGATGAGCTTTCTGATGAAGATGTATTTTTTACTGAAGAATTGTCGACATGGATAATGTTCTTTGATGGATCTGCATATCGAGATGGTGCAGGGGCAAGAGTCATGTTGATATCTCCAGAATAACTAATCTTACCATTTTCATTTGTTTTAGGTGAAACATATTCCAACAACGTCACATAGTACCAAGTAACTGATGATCAATTGAGAGTCACCGTAGATATCCAATTGAGGAATTTTCATATTTGATGTCATTTCAAGGCCCACAATCAAAGCTTGGTACTCTGCGGCGTTGTTGGAACATGTTTCACCTAAAATAAATGAAAATAGTAAGATTAGTCATTCTAGAGATATCAACACGACTCCCTCCCATTCACCATATCAACAAGAAACAAATACTCTTGAAGTCTCAATAATGCATTCATAAAGACTTCAACTCTCGTCGTCAAATTCGGCAAGCCTACATGTAGAGAAGTCTCAAAAAATAAAAATGCATTCATGAAGACTTCAAGCCTCGTCGTCAAATTCGACAAGCTTACACGTAGAGAAGTTTCAAAAAATGAATACACATTCATGAAGACTTTAACTTTCGTCGTCAAATTCAATAAGCCTACACGTTGAAAAATCTCAAAAAATGAAAACACATTCATGAATACTTAAGTCTTGTCGCCAAACTTCGGTAAGCCTACATGTTGACAAGTCTCGAAGTAAGGGGCATTTGTAGACACATAAATTGTATTGGTTAAATTCATATGAAATTTAAATTAAATCTATGTTCGTTTGGGCTGAATGATTAATTTGGGCTTTACAAATAAATAAGTCTATTTTATTAAATCCAAATCCAAGGTCCATTTCACCTTGAAGCCCAAACTCATGCCACATGTCACAGTGACTAAGCACTCAAGACCAATAAGGCGACGCCACGTATCTAAATGAGGTGGTAGTCCCAATCAAGTACAAGAACCAATCACAACATGTCAAGTGTCAAAATGACATCCTTTGGCCAATCATATGCAATCTTGTCCACCCCTTACAACTATAAATAAGGAATGGACATGAAATTCTAACGACATAAATAAAACTCTTCAACAAGCATTCTGTAATTGGAGAAAGCTACAACATCAACTGCATAGCTCTTCGAAGGAGTGATCAACGGAGTTCTTCCCGGTGTTCGACTTGAAACGACGAAGTGCTTTCCGACGTTCCCGGAGATCAAGAACATCTCTAGAAAGTCTACATCATCCAATAATTTGAGAAGTATGCTACTGAAGGCCCTCGAATCTTGAACAATCTTAGGAGAGAAGAATCAAGAGAACAACATAATTGTACTCACAACGATTCATCAATAAAAATAACATTTTCTTTTATTTATTTTTCTTGCAGTTAATTTTCAGCGCATAAGGAAATTTGTTGCGAACAATCGCATGGCGGATGCTTTGGCTAACTTGGCCACAACAATGGCACTCAGAGAAAATTAGACAACAAAGGTGCACGTATGTCATCGATGGGTTATTCCTGGTTGTCTTGATCTTCAAATCAATGAAAGCCACCATATATCCGTTCAAGTGGTTGAAAAGGAAGATTGGAGAAAACAATTGATTTAGTATCTTGAACATGGTAGGCTGCTTGAGGATCCACGAGTAAGAGTAGACATTAAGAGAAGGGCACCGCGATTCGTCTTTCACAAGGGAATACTGTTTCATCGTTCTTATGAGGGACTATTCTTGCGGTGTCTTGACAAAGAAGAAACTCAACCAACAATGGAGGAGGCACATTCTGGCACATGTGGAGCATACCAATCAAGGCCTAAACTTCATTTTCGCATCAAAATGATGGGCTACTATTGACCAACAATGGTAATGGACTACTTAGAGCATGCAAAGAAGTGTCAAGCATGTCAATTCCATGCTAATTACAGCCATCAATACCAAGAGGCTCTGCATCCAACTGTAGCCTCATGGCCTTTCGATGCATATGGACTTGATGTTGTTGGACCTTTTCCTAAGTCGTCAAAAGGACAAATGTATATCTTGGCTGCCACTGACTATTTCTCTAGATGGGCTGAAGTTGTGCCATTAAAATAGGTAAAGAAGGAAAATGTTGTTGATTTTATCAAATCAAACATATTTCTTAGATATGGCATACCAAGATGTATAGTTACTGATAATGGAACACCCTTCAACAATAAACTCATGAGTAGTTTGTGCGAGAAGTGCAGTTTTAAGCAACATAAGCCTTCAATGTACAATGCACTTGCCAATGGTCTTGCTGAAGCTTTTAACAAGATACTTGGTAACCTATTGAATAAAGTAGTTGCAAAGAATAAAAGGGACTGGCATGAGAGAATTGGTGAAGCTTTGTGGGCATATTGTACAACCTTTAGAATTGTTACTCAAGCGATTTTGTTTTCATTGGTGTATGGCGTAGAAGCAGTCCTTCCGTTGGAGAAGCAAATTCCATCATTGTGAATAACAATCCAAGAGGGACTTATAACTGAAAGTAACGCTCAACTTCGTCTAACAGAGTTGGAAGCATTGGATGAGAAGAGATTGGAAGCACAACAAAGTTTGGAGTGTTATCAAGCTCGACTTGCGAAAGCATTTAACAAGAAAGTGCGACCTCGATCATTTCAAGTGGGAGACTTGGTCTTAGCAGTCAGGAGACCCATAATCCTTAACAAACGCATCGGTGACAAGTTTACATCAAAATGGAATAGGGTGTATGTTGTGAAAGATGCATATTCAAGTGGCGTTTACAAAAAATGTAGACCAAGACGGTGTAAGAGTTGGTCCAATTAACGGCAAGTTTTTGAAGCAATACTTCCCATGAAGGTTGTCTACGCTCCTTAAGGTATGAGCATAAATTGCATGTTACTTCTGGCCTGCAAGAGTATAAACTGTGTACGGCAAAAAAAAACTGAAATAAAATAAATAAAACTCATCATCTTGAACTACGATATGACTTTATCCTCTTCACGGAGGTACGTAGGCGCTTGGACTAATCACTCTTAGCTCAGTCAAATGAGTAAAAAACAAGAAGGGGTTTTGGTGGCATTGTGTGATCCTCACACTAGCTCTTTAAAATTATGTAGCTAAAACGTGAGTTCAAATGCGTCATTGATGTGCAAAGGAGAAGAGTTAAGCAAGGCATGTTGACTTCAAAGGCTAGTTTGTAAAAATTCACGAAGGTTTTGACCATGATTTTTACATATATTGCAGTTCTTGGCGTGTACTTCGCCATGTAAAAATCAACTTGTGATTCAGACGTTCATTCGCTAAGTTATGAATTTTCTACCACGACCACTCAAAGCTAAAAAATAATAATCATATTTTGGAGTTGATCTGAGCACTTCAAAGGCCTATTTGTGAAAATTCATAAAGATTTTGATCATCATTGTTACACACATTGAAGTTCTTAAAGCCCTCTCCGCAACAAAAGAAGAAACTTGTAATACTGAAACTCCTACATCGAGTTATGGATCTTCCACTATGATCGTCAAAGTTTCATATCAAACATGCTAGATTTGAAAGTCAACTTCAGGTATTAATCTAATCAATTCAAAAAGAATTTTGATTTGAATTTTTGATATGCGACAGTCTAATGAATTTCATTGGTATTGGATCAAGTGATTTGCGATTCAACTTGAAGTTTTTTTGCTTCCGATAGAGATAATTTTGTGTAATTCAATGATGCTTCAGTAAGTTACTCAAAATTAGGGCATCTTTACCTACAACATCAAATCAGGATACCCTTCGGATCAAAGCCCTACTTATGTTGAAATGATGTACCCGCAAAGATCATGACTTGAACACTCCAAGCTCAAGAGACAAGTTTTTTTTTTGTTGTCAAGAGCGAACAAAGTTGAGAAATTGACATTCTGGGCGTATAGTCAACCTGAAAAAAATTTATCATCAATTTGGAATGAATTTTGTTGTAACTTCTATAAATAGTGTTGTTCTTGATGCGCTCGTTACAATGAAATAAGAAACTCATAGTTTCACCACTCTTACATTGAATTTTGGATTTCACACCAAAGACGCGCTCCTCACAATGAAACAATGATCTCGTAGTTTCAGAATTCAAGCTAACTTTGAAAATATATTTGTATTAACCTGGAGATATTTTGGCCGTGATTTTTACATATGTTGTACTTCTATGAGTTATGCTTCCAACGTAACAAGAATCGTATCATTTCAAGGCTCTTACACCGAGCTATTGATTTTCTCCCAAAGTTACTCAAAGCTGAAGAGTTGAGCGAAGCAAAATTTGAGCTAACTTTAAAAATATATATGTACTAATCAGGAAAGATTTTGGTCGTGATTTTTTTCATATGTTGTACCGTCTCTGAGTTATGCTTCCAATGGAACAAGAATTGCATCATTTTGAGGCTCCTACGCCGAGTTATTGATTTTCTCCCAAAGTTGCTCAAAGCAGAAGAGTTGAGCGAGGCAGAATTTGAGCTAACTTTGAAAATATATTTGTACTAATCTGGAAAGATTTTGGCCGTGATTACATATGTTGTACGCCTATGAGTTATGTTGTAATGCCACATACGAAACTAGTAACACTTAGCTAAGTCTTGACTGAATCTAGTAGGTTGACCTAGAGCCTCACATGTTAGTTTATAGTTGAAAACTTGTTTAAATGATGAAAAATGGCTATTGAAGCTAGTTTGGTGATTTTAGAGATCAAACGTCAAGAAACGACCATGACGTCCGAAAATTAGTAGACTAAGCGAGGGCCAAGTTTGAGGGTTAGAGCCAAGAAAGAGGACTAGGGCAGTCCACTCTTTCATGGAAACTGCCTCACCTTCCACGACCACCACAACGGCTCGTGGTGAGGACCACGGCTCGTGGTGTGGCTTGTGGTAGGCTAGGCAGTAGCTAAACAAAGGCTGCCCAAAAATAGCCCCTCCACACGACCCACTTCACGGTTCGTGGGAAGGCTCGTGGTGGTGTCTTAGATTTTTAGGGCTTAAGGGGAAGGTTTCCTAGATACTGTATCATGACCACGAGAGGCACCACGGCTCGTGGAGCCTCACGTGAAGGGATCTCCATCAGACTTAGAGTATAGGGTCAACTTCAAATGGTCATATCACTTAGCTCAAAATGAATTTGGTGGTCTATTACTTATCCAATGCAAGGTCTCTAAGTCCTCTTTCCAACGCCACCGACCTTTCCCAATTCCGATCTCTGAGTAAAAAGTTATTCACGAAATAGTGAAGCACTGTCAGGCTGAAAATCTTCACGACCCGTTTCACGGTCCGTGGTGATGATCACGGTCCGTGAAGGCTTCAGTGATGCCATTTCGGCAGTTTCTAGCAAGTAACTTATTGGGTCTTTTCCCAATTGTTTTAACTCAAGGATATCTCATTTTTCCCAAGCCTAGGACCCCTATTTAAGCCGTTTTAACTCCAAAACTCACCCAATTAAATCAATTATTCCAAGACCCAAATAAAAGCCCAACTCATTTTCCCTTCCAAAATTCTCTCTCTCTCAAAACTCTCTCAACTCAAGACTCCATGGAAGAACTTTGAAGGAGCTTATCAAGGGCTTGTAGATGGGAGGTTTCACGTGAAATTCATAGGGTTTAACTAAGGTATGGTTGCTCTTCACTCTTGGGATCCCTTTCCCCAAGAGGTCCTTCCAAATATGGTTTTCAAAGTCCCCCAAATTGTATATTTCAATCCCAATTCGTGAGTCTCTTTCTAAAGTCGATTCCATTGATCTATAATGGTTATTTATGATTATATATGAATGTTTGTGGATGAATTCATGTAACACTTATGGTTTTTGAACAATTCCCCACAAGACCCATGATTTCCCTTTTCTTTCTCAATTCTAAACCCTAGCTTGTGTTGAATGATGATTGAAGGATGAAAATCTAGTATGTTACTATGAAACTCATTATTGTATTATGAGGTTATCTTATATGATGTATGAATATAAAAAAAATAGGGTTGAATCTTGAAGAAAGCCTTGATGGCTATGAATGAAGGTTTTCAATTGGTAAGTAGCCTTCTATTGAATTGTTGATCCACTTGTGGGGGAGATGTTTACTTATTATATATCCTTTGAATTAATGGTTTGATCCACTTATGGTGGAAGTGCTTACTTGTTAGTATGAATTGTAGTGTTAAGACAAGGTCCCTCTTCCCTACAACCCTAGATATGACTAAGTATGATACTTTATGAATATGAATGAGATGTTATGAACATGGTATGATCTATATGTTGAATTTTATGAGGTTCTCTTGTGGAAGGACCCTACCCACATAATCCCCAAATGATACATGCCATGAATGATGTACTTGAATGATGAATATTGGATATGTGACTTACATGATCTAAGATCCTTAAATGCAAATATGTGAATTGTGCATCAGTTGGGATATTATGTATATGTTATGACCCCCCCCCCCCCCTTGACAAAGGAGGTGTCTATAATGTTAATGTTGTTGTTGTTGTGCCATTGTGAGGACAATCATGCACACACACTCCATGCATAAATATGAATATGATATGTCTATGGTGTCAATTGAAAGGCTAATTCTCATATGCACCTTTACATACTATTATGCATGAAATGTACATGACCATGAAGATATGACTATGTGTGCTAAGAGGTATGTATGTATGTATGTTATGGTATGATTGTTATATGAATGAAAGGTAGTTCTCATGATTATAGCATAATGTAAAGTGAAAGGTTTACTCACTTGCTAAGTGTTCCTAAAGTGAAAGGATTGTTACTCACTTATGAATACATATGAGCTATTATGGTAAGATGTTTACATAAGAGTCTAGTAAAGGCTAATGTGAACTTATGTGATGACTAAAGATGATTACAAAAGGGAATTTGATGCTTAGCACCAAAAGGGCATGTAAATGAGATGGGGCTCTCACGTTTAGTAAGTCTGGCTCCCCACATGGGTTTCCTCACGTTTAGCAAGTCCGGATTACCCACGGTATGTGTTGTCTCATGAGATGGAAACCCTCACGTTTAGTAAGTTAGGGTTTGTAGAAGCAATCTCCTTGACCCTTAACTATGTGCCCACATAGGACTCTAGCTTAGTGGATCCACCTAGATAGCTATGTACGAATGGTTACACTTTAGGCAAATGTTAACCCTCTCTTTTCGGTGTGGGAGTAGAACACCGGATTCCATGTAGCTCTCATGGTCTATGTCGGTTAATGCAATATTTCCCTAATGTAAACGTAAATGAAGGTATGAAAGGTGTGAACTCTTACTAAGGCTTTCTTAAGGGTTTCTACATAGTGTAAGGGAGGGTATGTGACTTCTCTTACACATTACACTTGTGGGATCCTAAGGGTTGGTTGTAGTAGTGTTTCTCTTATGATTATGATGATTATGACTTATGTATGTTGAAGCTATGTTGTGTATGATCATTATGATGATGGTTTACCTATGATATGGACTATTTGAATTATGACTAAGATGTATGATA